ATCGTTTTTATTCTCACACATAATTATTTTTGGTGTGATGACTTATTTTATCTACAGATTGAAGGCACAGCCATGGGGACACGATTTGCGCCAAGTTACACTAATTTATTTATGGGCAAATGGGAAGAAGAATATATATGGACCCATTGCCCATTTGGCGCAAATCTGTCCCTGTGGCTCAGATATATCGACGATTGCTTCTTTATATGGAAAGGAGACCTTGGATCCTTAGAGAGTTTTAAAACTTATCTTAACAACAACCCATATCATCTGAACTTTACTTTTAACCACTCTAAAGAACACATCGAATTTTTAGATCTGGATATCTATATCAAAGAGGGACAAATCAACACCAAGACTTTTAAGAAGAATGTGGACTGTAATAGTTTTATTCCTTTTAACAGTCATCACAAGTCAACATGGTTAAGAAACATACCTCAGAACCAGTTCAGGAGGGTAAGACGCAACTGCTCGAATAATGAAGTGTGTAAGTCACAAATGGAAGAAATGAAGCAGAGATTCCTGAAAAAGGGTTATCCCCCAACGCTATTAGAAGAATCTATGGATATAGCACTTACCACCCCAAGAGAGGATACCTTATGCAATAAACCCAGCACCACAGAAGTATCCAATTCAGCACCCACCTTTATCACTAAATATAATCATCAATTTCATACAATACAGAAGACACTTAGGAAGCACTGGGGGATCCTTAAGAATGATCCAACGTTATCTAAATTCCTCGACAATCAACCGACAATCAACCTCAGATTATTTTTACTAGGGCACCCAACCTGCAACTTAAGCTGGCACCGACCACTAAACCTGAAAGTGCTGATTTGGATCAAGGTACCATCAGTGGCTTCACAAGATGCAAGAAGTGTCTAGCATGTAGAAATAATCCATCATTAGAAGACACAACCACTGGATTTAAATCCCACACCACTCAAGAGGAATATGATATCAAGACCAACATGGACTGTACTACATCAGGAGTTATCTATTTAATAACATGTCCATGCCCACAACAATATATTGGACGTACAAAAAGACCCCTCAAAATACGTATTGCTGAACACATTAGAAATATTAAGAAGGGACTTCCAACGCATAATCTTTCCAAGCACTTTAAAGAGATACATGGGGGAGACCCCACAGGACTTGCATTTATGCCTATTGAGAAAGTGAATACCCACTGGAGAGGAGGCAGCATTGATAAGGCTCTAGATCAGACAGAAGCGAAGTGGATTTTTAAGTTAGGGACTTTGGTCCCTAAGGGACTTAATGTAGATTTTGAGCTTAATGCTTTCCTATAATATATCTTTATTATTTATTTATTTATTTATTATTTTTTTTTTTTTTTTTTTTTTTTTTTTTTTTTTTTTTTTTTTTTTTTTTTTTTTTTTTTTTTTTTTTTTTTTTTTTTTTTTTTTTTCTTCCACCTTTATTTATAGTTACAGACTACCACCAGGGATTATTCATTTATTTATTTATTATCTATTTTGTATATATTAACTATTATTTGTTCTCCTGTTTTCTCCTAGAAGGATGGATTGACACTATACCTATATGGTACCTATCTAGTATTGGTTATCCATATGTAGTCAATATACTATTATGATTTTATCCATCTTCATGTATATATACCAATTTATGTCCAGCATTTCATTATCTCTAATTGATTCATTAAATATGTTCCTTCCATTTGGAACATTCATATATTGCTTTTATGTATTTTTACATTTACCGGTCTTATGTATCTGTCTACATTTTATGAGACTTTATAAATATTGTTTTTACCCTAGTGGCAATGATTTGCATTTTATGTATATGTATGTATCATTTTATGCAGGTACAAATACTGTTTTTATTAGTATAGAATATATTGGTTTTAACACCTAAATGTGATTGATAATTAGGCAATGTATATAAAGAAGAACTGAAGCACTAGACACTATTATGTCTCTGATGAAGTAGGGCCCATTCCCTACGAAACGCGTAAGACAGGCATTCCAGCAACACACGGGATCAGACGCATGTACCAGCAGCACCACTAATCTGCACACGCAGGACCTGTTTGGAAAGTACCGCCACCGGAGGCATCTGTCCTGCACGTCCCCTGAAGTGAGGCTCCTGCTCGGGACGTGCTCACAGACACAAGCCATCCTCACCGGCAGCTGTATATTGAATCATCACAATCCATATCCATCCTTAACAATCTGAAGGTCCTTGCTGTTATTTTTCAATGCTTCAGTCTGGTAATGCATTTCTGAATCTAGTGTGACCTGTATTTTTATATTTAACTTTTTCCAAAGTTATTTTATTATATTCAATAAACTGGCATTTTTTTTTTTTTTCTTATATGAAGTGATCCAGTTTTATGCTTCAGTTTTCCAGCGATATATTGTTTTCATTTTTATTGCCTAAAGCTAACAGTTCCTTGTACTGTATAGCTTATTTTTTACTTCTATCTTTTACTAAGTATATTATTTGCAACAGGTATCATTTATCCCTCATGTTGTTTGGGATATAGACACCAGTTTCATACATATTTTTTGGTCATCCAGCAGAGAATTTGGTCTCTCATCTTTCCCCTTTTTGCATTTTTGTATTTTATTTATATATATATATATATACCCTTTTTTTTATTTATTTATTTTTTTTTTTTACCCCCCTTATATAGCACTGCTTTGCATGTTTGCATACTCTTAAAGGACATTTAAAGGTATAGCAGCATTCTCTTTGTATTCTTGCACATTTAAAGGGATATCCCGTTTATTTGAGATCTCCACTCATAGCACTTTTACTCACATTTTTGCACATTTATAGGGATACTTTGTCCATTTCAGATTTAAAGGCATAGTACCATATATATATTTTTATATTTATATATTTCTTTTTTTTTTTTTATATTTATCTCTATGTATTAGTATTTTAGCCATTAGTCACCTAGCCAGCTCCTGGTATTCCCACTCTTCTAGAGAGTTCTTTTCCCTTGTTC